AAATGACTTGCCTAAGGCCACTCAGCGGGTGTGGGGTGGAGCCAAGCCTGCAGCCCAGACATTCTGTGCCCCAGACCAGGTTTCTTTCCTCTCCACCAGTTATTTGCTCTGCTCTCCTGTCAGGTTGAGATTTCTGCTCCAGCAGAGCATCTCATGGAATGGAGTGTGTAGTGTCTAAAGACAGTGGGCAATCAACAATTATCCCAGATATCAGATTTGTAAGCCCAGAGATGACTGATAGTAGTGCCCTGGGACATGGGGGAGAAGTGGCATTCACACTGTGCACTGGGGATACCTAGGCTGGCTTCCAGCCCACGGCAGGAGCCCAAGACCAACCAGAAATTTTTCCCAGGGAGAAACAGTGGTCCAGTTTGCTGCCAAATTGTTGCCCCCTAGACTATAATCTCCCTGAAGCTGGAGCCTGGGTCTCTGAAGACTTTGTCTGCTTTGCATATAGTAGGTGCTCAATAATTTATTGGATAAAAATAAGAGCTATTATTTACCAATTTTAGCCTAACAGCAGGTCAAGTGAGTGCCATATGCTATCTCATTTAATTCTCACAACCAAAACCAGGTAAATAAAAATTCTGATTTGAGGCTCCTAGACCAGGAAAAACAAGCCTTGTGACACTCTCCTGGCCCCGCCACTCCTTTTCAGTCTCCCTCCTCCTCAGCCCCATGGTCCTTAAATGTTGGCATCCCCAAAGCTTTGGTCTTCCCACCAAATCCACCTTCCCCAGGTGATCTTAGCCATGTAGATAGCTCCAACCCTAGGCTAATGGTACCAGATCTAAATCTAGTCCAGAGCTCCCTCCTGAGCACTGGGTTAGAATATCCACCTGTTTTCTGGACACCTTCCCTTGGACCTGTTGTAGGCTTGGCCTGGCTTGACTGTGCGCATTACCCACCCTGTCCCTGCATGTCCTAGCCTGGTTAACGACATCAGGGCATGTAGCTCAGAAACCTTGGTTGGCCTCCTCCCTTATTCTCTCTTCTCTTTATTAACACTGCCAAGGCTCAGTTCATGCCCTCAGCATCTCTTGCCCGGTCTCTTGCAATCTATTCCTAACTGTGATCTCTGACTCAGCGAAGTCATGCTCCTCACACTTGTCCAAATGCACTATCTAAAACAAGTGTGACCACTTCCCTTCCCTGAACACTCCAGTGTATTGCCATCTCCAGGAGTCCAAATTGTTTGCACAGTATCTAAGTTCCCTGCTTATTTAAAACCTCCTCTGTCCTCACTTTCCCAGGTATACGTGGGCCTCTAAGAGTGCCAAAATACTTGTATACTTGTGCTCCCTGCCCATTCACTCTATTTCACCCCACCACACCCTTGCACACGCCCTTTCCTCTGTCTGGAATGCCTATCCCTGCCTTGAGATTGTGGGTTCATATTTCTACACCTAGCACCTCACATATGGTCTGACACCTGCTGGCCTCTCTTAACGTCATCCTATTTTACTCCTCACTCCAACCACACAGGCCTCCAGTGCCCTCCCCTACTCAGTCAGATTCCCTCCCCCATTATGCTCTCACAGCATCATCGACTTTCCCTTGATAGCACTGGATCCTGGGGCAATTTTACATTCATTTAAGTGACTGTGTGATGAACGTGGGTCTCTCCCACTAGAATACGAGCTCCACAGAAACAGAGGTTGGATCTGGTGGTCAGTGTATATTTGTTAAGTGCATAAAGCACACAATTCTTATAAACATTGGGGCTGTGTGGTGTTGGAGACAGAACAGCTTTAAGAGCCAAGTAGTCCTGGGTTTAAATCTCAGCTTTGCCACTTACTATGTAACCTTGAGAAAATTGCCAAATCTCACCTAAGGTCAGATTCTTCATCCATAAACACAGTGCAGTGCCTACTTTGTAGGCATACACATAATGTATGTGCAGTGCTTCATAGGAGCTCAATAAATGGTAGGAATTACCCTGGATATCCAAGGATATTTTCTGAATGAATATTTAATTTATGTAACCTCTTGTTTTGAAAGGTGCTTGATGATTATGAAATTTATTTTTGTCATTCTGAAATTATTATTATTATTTTTTGTGAGGAAGATCAGCCCTGAGCTAACATCCATGCTAATCTTCCTCTTTTTGCTGAGGAAGACCGGCTCTGAGCTAACATCTATTGCCAATCCTCCTCCTTTTTTTCACCCAAAGCCCCAGTAGATAGTTGTATGTTATAGTTGCACAGCCTTCTAGTTGCTGTATGTGGGACACGGCCTCAGCATGGCTGGAGAAGTGGTGCGTCGTTGCGCACCCGGGATCCGAACCCGGGCTGCCAGTAGCGGAGTGCGCGCACTTAACCGCTAAGCCACGAGGCCAGCCCTCTGAAATTATTTTGCATCTGTAGTCTCATATTTTAAAATTCTGGTTTATTCCCACTTTGCAGACGGGGAAACTGAGGTTCAAAGAAGTGAAGTGACTGTTCCAAGGCCACATAGTTAGTGGTAGAGTTAGAGATCAGGTTCAGGTCAATGCTCAAGGTAATCGAAAAAAAAAAAAAAGAACTATGTGCTATACCTATCAAAGGACATCATGAAGCATTTAAACTGAGAGTCTGTTAACTTCCTTTAGTTATAGGTCTCCTGTAGTCAAAAGGTAGGTTGGTGGAATGGAAAGCACTGTGGGCAAGCCCACAGTCTGAAGATGCAGGTTTTGGTCCTGTCCTCACGCAAGTCCCTCACATGAAGGGCAACAGTAATCATGAAATAATGTGATTTTTTATTTCATGTAAAAATGCTAGATAAATGTAAGATCATCATAGAATCACTTTTCTTCTGGGATACTGTGAACTCCTTTTTTTTTTTGCTGAGGAATATTCGCCCTGAGCTCACATCCAATGCCAATCTCCCTCTTTTTGTATGTGAGCCACCGCCACAGCACGGCCACTGACAGACAAGTAGCATAAGACCCCGCGGAAACTGGGCCGGGCGCCCAAGCAGAGTGCACTGAACCCAACCACTAGGCTGCTGGGGCTGGCCCATACTGCAAACCCTTGAAGGGCAGGGATGCTGTCATTTTTCTGTATACTGCCCACAGCACCTACCGCGGTGGATGGAAATCATGAGAAGACTCAATCAGTATGTTGAAGGACTGAAAGTTGACTGAGCGAATGAAAGTCTTTTCTTTCCTTTTTCCAGCTCCCCCTCTGCCTTGGGGGTGGCTGGGGAAGGGATAACTGTCACTCAAGCCCAGCCCTAGGGCAGGAAAACAGATTTGTCATAGAAGGAAATTGAAGATGCTGCATTTCCACTGGAGATTTGCTCTCAATTTCCTATCAGACTGTGAGCTTCCTGAGTGGAGTGTAGGAGCCTGTCTTAACTCATTTTGGTCTTCACTGCTCAGCTCAGAGGCTTGGTACCAGCTCTAAAGATGCCCTGGAGGTAGAGTAGGTGGGGAGATCTGAAGGAGTAGCCCTTAGGGCTTAGTTTGGGCCCCAGTGAGCTAGAGAGCACAACTTTCCCATCCCCAGACCGCCCTGGGACCAAGGTGCAGTGGGTGGAATGGAAATGGGATGGAGAGCAGAGGCACAGCCCCCTGATTTTGAAGGAAAACTTTCTTCCTAATGTAGTGAAAAGGCAACTTCTCCTTACAATAAGGAGAGGGATACGATAAGGAGCATTTTCACTTGTAAAGAACCTGCAAATCTGTATATCATTCAATCAAGAAAAAAAAATTCAAATCCTGTCAAATCTGGATCCGTTGTATCTACTTAGAATTTTCTTTCCTTCTCTCTACTCCTTTTTCTCTTATATTTCTTTTTGTTGTTGTTTGTTTTGTTTTTTGTGTTTAAAGCAACGCTCTGCTCTTCTAGATTGGAGTAGGAAACAGCTCGCCAGGCAGGGAGGATTTGGCTCATACTGAGAAGCAAAGGGGCTTTCTGAACTCAATTTTCTTTCGTCTTTTTAAGTGCCCTCCTTCCCTCAGGAGAGACAATAGAAATAATTGATCCATCATCCAGTACCAGGCCCAGGAGATTTACATGCAAATTCCCCCTCTCCTCCCCAGACCCTCCCTCTCAAATTTAAAATCCTAGATGGGGAAAAAAAGAAAACCTTCTAAACTAGCAGGAACCCTGCTGGCCATCGCCACCCACCCCCAACCAGGTGAGAGATGAGGGGGATGATCCACCACAACCCCCCAGCCTCCTCCCTTGCCAAACACACTACCCCCTTCTGGTGTGGAATCACTTAAGATTTGGGTAAAACTCCCCTCTCTCTCTGGAGACGGTATCTGGAAGCTTTTAGCGGGGCGGAGGCAGAGGTGGGGAGAGAGGAGGAAAATTCCCCCAAACGGCCTAAGAGAGTCATCTTTTCACTCAAAACTGCCCGTCATCCCCCACCCCCCACCATTAACCTTCGATTAAGACCTTCTCGTTATGGCAACTAAACTTTACTTTGCATAATTAAGATTTGCCTCGGAAGAAGGGGGAGGGAGAAGCCACAGCACTCGGCCATTCTCCTTCACCTCACCCCCTCGCACGCCCGCTCCAACCCTCCAGCTCTGGGCCTCCGAGTTCCTGAGTTTTCTCACTTTGAGGTGCCACCGAACACAAAGAACCATAATAGGCTCCTTTGTGCTCGCTACGGGGCAATTACGCCCCGGAGTCCAGGCCCCTTTAAGAGCCTCTTAAAGAGACAGGATCTCATTTTTCAGAGGGTTATTTAAAGGGTGTGTGTAGGGGGAGGGGCGAGGCAAACTCCTGGGGTCTACAAATAGGGTGAAGTGAAACTTTTGTCTGAACTCCATGAGAAAGGACTGAGAGAAAAGTCTTTGTAAACTGTTAGTTTTTAAAAAGTCTTCCCCCTTCCTTTTTTAATTTTTAAACTTGAGATTTTTTCACTTGCAAAATTGGACTGGGTTAGGTGGGGTTCGAGGAACAGGGGCGGAGGCAAGGGTTTAAAGAGGCCCTACCCCGGAGAGCGCCTTGGCCCCCGAAAGAAAAGTGATCCAGGGTTGAGGGCCTTGGGTCTGCCACAGTTCTGGGGAATGTGTGTCTCCGGATCTCGCCGCCACGACTCCGGAGAAATCCCGTGCTGGGCAAACAGCCCTTAATATAATAACAGTTTGTCTCTTTAAAAAGCAAAAGGAGGGGGGGAAAGTTTTGTTGGCATCTGGTTTCTGATCTTATTATGTTGCGGTCGACCAATCCAGCCCTCGGGGCTGGTCCTCGGGTTTAAATCTGATTGGCCGAGAGCACATTTTGGGATAGTGCTTAGAGCTCGACGGGGCGGTTTCAAGGATCCCTTTTTTGGGGGGCTGAGGAGAGGGCGGGGCCGCCGGCGGGGGCCCCCTTGAAACCGACTAATTGGGATCGGAGAGGCCGAGGTGAGGGCTGGAGGAAGGCACAAAGGAGTCGCTGGGCGGAGAAGGGAGGGGAGAAGGGAGAGGCGAGAGGAGGAGGAAGAAGAGGAGAGAGGGCAAGCAGCGCGCGGTGTCTCCGGCGGCTCAGTACGACCGCGGCGAGCTAGCGGGCAGGCGCGCCGCCCCCTCCCCCGCCCGGCCTCCCCAACTCTGCGGCGCGAGCAAAGTTTGCAAAGAGGCACGGGAGGCGGCGGCCGCGGCGAGGCGGCGGCAGGGAAGGCGCGCGGTCTCGGGGCTGGGGGCGGGGGCGGGGGGCTCCCGGGAGCCGGGTGGGGGGCGGCGGCCAGCATGCGGCCCCGCAGCGCCCTGCCCCGCCTGCTGCTGCCGCTGCTGCTGCTACCCGCTGCCGGGCCGGCCCAGTTCCACGGAGAGAAGGGCATCTCCATCCCGGACCACGGCTTCTGCCAGCCCATCTCCATCCCGCTGTGCACGGACATCGCCTACAACCAGACCATCATGCCCAACCTTCTGGGTCATACGAACCAGGAGGACGCGGGCCTGGAGGTGCACCAGTTCTACCCGTTGGTGAAGGTGCAGTGCTCGCCCGAACTGCGCTTCTTCCTGTGTTCCATGTACGCACCCGTGTGCACCGTGCTGGAGCAGGCCATCCCGCCGTGCCGCTCGATCTGCGAGCGCGCGCGCCAGGGCTGCGAGGCACTCATGAACAAGTTCGGTTTTCAGTGGCCCGAGCGCCTGCGCTGCGAGCACTTCCCGCGCCACGGCGCGGAGCAGATCTGCGTGGGCCAGAACCATTCCGAGGACGGCGCTCCCGCGCTACTCACCACCGCGCCGCCGCCGGGCCTGCAGCCGGGTGCTGGCGGCACCCCGGGCGGCCCGGGCGGCGGCGGGTCGCCCCCGCGCTACGCCACGCTGGAGCACCCTTTCCACTGCCCGCGCGTCCTCAAGGTGCCGTCCTATCTCAGCTATAAGTTCCTGGGCGAGCGCGACTGCGCGGCGCCATGCGAGCCGGCGCGGCCCGACGGCTCCATGTTCTTCTCGCAGGAGGAGACGCGCTTCGCGCGCCTCTGGATCCTCACCTGGTCGGTGCTGTGCTGCGCCTCCACCTTTTTCACCGTCACCACGTACCTGGTGGACATGCAGCGCTTCCGCTACCCGGAGCGGCCCATCATCTTTCTGTCCGGCTGCTACACTATGGTTTCGGTGGCCTACATCGCGGGCTTCGTGCTCCAGGAGCGCGTGGTGTGCAACGAGCGCTTCTCCGAGGACGGCTACCGCACGGTGGTACAGGGCACCAAGAAGGAGGGCTGCACCATTCTCTTCATGATGCTGTACTTCTTCAGCATGGCCAGTTCCATCTGGTGGGTCATCCTGTCGCTTACCTGGTTCCTGGCGGCAGGCATGAAGTGGGGCCACGAGGCCATCGAGGCCAACTCGCAGTACTTTCACCTGGCAGCGTGGGCTGTGCCGGCGGTCAAGACCATCACTATCCTGGCCATGGGCCAGATTGACGGCGACCTGCTGAGCGGCGTGTGCTTCGTGGGCCTAAACAGCCTGGACCCGCTGCGGGGCTTCGTGCTGGCGCCGCTCTTCGTGTACCTGTTCATAGGCACGTCCTTCCTCCTGGCGGGTTTCGTGTCACTTTTCCGCATCCGTACCATCATGAAGCACGACGGCACCAAGACGGAGAAGCTGGAGCGGCTCATGGTGCGCATCGGCGTCTTCTCGGTGCTCTACACGGTGCCCGCCACCATCGTCATCGCCTGCTACTTCTACGAGCAGGCCTTCCGAGAGCACTGGGAGCGCTCGTGGGTGAGCCAGCACTGCAAGAGCCTGGCCATCCCGTGCCCGGCGCACTACACGCCGCGCATGTCGCCCGACTTCACCGTCTACATGATCAAATACCTCATGACGCTCATCGTGGGCATCACGTCGGGCTTCTGGATTTGGTCCGGCAAGACGCTGCACTCTTGGAGGAAGTTCTACACCCGTCTCACCAACAGCCGGCACGGCGAGACCACCGTGTGAGGGGGCGCCCCTGCGCCGCGTCCCCAGGCCCGGGCCGCACCGACCTTTCCTCCGCGCAGGGGGGCTCCTACAGACTCCTTATTTTATTTTTTTAAATAAAGAACAATCGAAACCATTTCTTTTTTAGGTCGCTTTTTAAAGAGAACTCTGCCCAACACCCCCACCAGGTTTGTAATTAAAACTGTAAATAGTCTTTGTAAATTTAATTATATATTTTCTATTTAAAAGGAAAAAAAAAAAAAGGAGCAGCGAGGGGTGCCAGGGCTGAGGAATGGGCGGGGGGTTGGCTACGGGGGATCTCTTTCTTCGGTGCCCTTTCAAACACCACCCGCTACTTTGGTTCGAAGTTTTTGGTGATTTGGCAGGGCTGGGCCTGCTAGAAGAGGTGTTGGCTGTGCAGAGTTGGGAGTTTGTTGAATTCAACTTCTAAAGCCAAATTTGTGAGCCTTCTCGCTGCCGCTGGGCCTGTGGGAGCTGTTGGTTATTTTTGAACAGGTCTTGGATTCTTCTTGTTTTATTTCATTTTCCCCCTTTCTCTCCTCACTTGTCCTGTCTCCTTTACTCGATCTTTGGAACCCTCCCAACAGACGAAGACGTGGGAAAAAAAAAGCCAAACCAACGGGTGGGGTGATGGGGAGAGGGCGGAGATTGTGTGTGGAATGGCCCCCACTCCTCTGCAGGCAGGAAGATCTTTCTGTGACTTGTCTTCTCAACTCGCTGCCCCAAGCGCCTGGAGTGGGCAGAAAGTGCTGTGTGAAGTGTGTTTTGAAACAAAAACACTCCCCCACACACATGCTACCTTGAGTACCGATCGTGACTGCCTCCATTTTTAGGGGGAGCCTTAGCTCGCAAATGTTGGGGTTTGGAGATGCCCTTGAATCTCTCCCCTTCTTTCCCCTGCAGTCCCCCCCACCCCACCCCCTAACTGAGTATCTTCTCTGCCGTTCAGGTTAGCAGTTTGCGGGGTGGTTTGTGTGTTATGTATGGGTTTTTGTTGTTGGGGGGTTATTTTTTTCAAAAAAGCAATAAAAATGGTTTGGGTTGGAGGGGAGGGGAGGAATGGGCTGGTGGGACTTTTAGTTTCCTTTGACAAAAGACTGGTTTCTTTTCAAACTTACCCAGGAAGAAAAAAAAAAGGTGGGTATCCTTGCTTTGGAAGAAGGCTCTGGGCAGGCTCTTTGTGACTGTGGGGGTGGGGTTGAATGTTTACAAGACATTCTATATCACAAGATCGATAGAATGTTTATAACAGATGTTTCTTATCTTCCCCCTACCCCCCCACAAATAAAAGTCAAGACTTCTTAAAGTATCTTTGACGCTGGTATGAGCATTGCAGTTTCCAATACACATCAATTCCCTCAACTATTTGGAATATTTTAGAATTTTAATTCCAGAGGATTGATTTTGAAGACCAAGGGTGGGAGTGGAACAAGTATGCCACATAACTCAATTTTTCACCATCTCCTGTTTCTTGATAATAGTGCAAATTAAAAGCTAATAATCATAATAATAAAGTGCATTTAATTATCTTCTAGAGGTCTAGCCCTTTAATTGTATTTAACAGGGTTGTAACATTTTATTAGTTTAACCAAACCACACCTCCTCCTTCCCTCTCCCCCAACCTACTTGGTTGGGGGTGGGGTGGAGGAGATGTTCCCTGGCCCAGACATTGCTTTTTTAGCTAAATGGTGATGGGGAAAATGGTGCCTTACCACCCTTTGTTGGCAGTCTTTGGGGCAAGAGAGAAAGAAAGTTAGAACTCCTACATCGAAGTGTTTGCATGTGTTAGTTTATGTTGGGGGAGGGGATCTGGAAATGTTTGGTGGTAATTGAAGTCATATGTAGGGCTTTGTTTGGAATTGTATGAAGCCTGGGGATTTTAGCAGAGCCCCCTTCCCAAAATATATAACCTTCCCCCAAATCATTTGTGCCAGTGGCCAATGTAAGTTAAAGCTAGCTTTTTTTCAAATGATGATGTGTATGAACTCCCAACATGAGATTCCCTCATCTATCACAAGCAGGCGGGGAGCAGCCCTGTAGCTCCATTTGTTGCAAGATATTAGAGGAACCCCGCCAGTGCTGCAGGAAAGAGTTAAATTAGGAACAAATTGTGAGTGTCTCTCTTGGAAAGAATGGCGAAAGCCTGTGAATGGGGAGAGGGGGCGATATTCCAGTGTTTGGGATGGAGCCTAGTGGGTGGAGGAGTGCTGGTCCTTGATGGGGGAAGAGCCTCCCCCACCTCTAACCCCCAGGATCCCAGCCCTGTGCTTTGGACCCTCACAGAAGAAATGGTGAACTGGCAATGAGTATCTTAACCTTTCCTGAGTAGGGGTGGGAGGGAGGGACTTTTGGTAAAGATTGGTCTTCTCAACCTCCCTCTCTCAAAGTCTCCTGCCAACAGAGGGGAAGAGGGCCCGAGAAAACTGAAAAAAATAGCTTTTACTGTGGGAGGAGGAGTATAGATAATGAGATAATTGCCTCTTTTGGAAAGGATAGGTCTTCTAAATGCCCTATCTCTCTCCAAAGGGGTTAGCCAAGGGCTGAATTACCTTACCAAAAGTAGTGGGAAACCCTCCCTGGCTGCTCTCATTGCTCTAATGAAACAACTCTTGGAGGAAGGGAAATGTAAGCTCATGGTGTAGGGGATTTAGGGGAGAAGGTGCCCTGGAGCAGAGACCCAAGGGTAAATGACTTGAGCTCACTGCCTCATCTGGAGAGAGGTCTCCACTCCCTTGTTTAGAAAACTCTGTTAAATACATGGGCTTTTAGGTCTGCTCTTGCAGATTTCTAGCTCGCCTTATAGGCAGGAAAAGGTTTACCCCTTGTAAGTGGATTGGTGCCTCCCTCTGGAAGAGTGGGGCTCTGGTGGAGGGTCAAGGGCCCAGAAGGAAAGCCCTTCACCTGAGGCCTCCAGGCCTGGGTCAGGTCTCAGACCACAGCTGCTTTCTACCTGCTTTCCCACCATCACCCCATCCCACAAAGGAGCAATGCTGCTAGTTCTCTAGGTTGAGGTCCTCTCTCCTCCAGACTCTCCCCTCCTTGATCAGTCTTTGGCTTTTCCTTCCCCCACCCCAGGTTCCCCTCCTGAAGACCGATTCCATTAGTTACAAACTCTTTGTCCTTTAAGGGCCAGCCCCAGAAAAGGACACTAAAGTTTTCCAAGACAAAATTCTTCTGAATATCCCCAAAGAATGAGGATCAGTGGGATCTGGAGCTGCCGACTTCTGGATTATTCCAAAAAGCTCTCCAAGAGGGTGTTGGGGTCCCAGATCTGGGGTGGATTCTGGAATTGGGGAGATGCTGTCCAGGGTTCCATAGGGCACATGTCTGGGGGAGCAGAGCCCAAGCTCCTGCCACTTCCAAGGCATCATCCCTTTGATAATATCGCTGCCTGCTGTAGTAGGGTCCCTTCCTTCTCCTTACCTCTAAATGAACCTTAAACTTCTGGAGGCCACTGACCCCTCCAAGAACCTGAAAAAGCTTTGGACCTCCTGGGAAAAAATGACCAGACCCTCGTGAACACACTATTTTGCATATAACTTTAGGAGGTTCATGAACCATCTATCTGTGCACACCCCATCCCCCACCCCACCTCCCACCTAGTTGTCCAATCCCTGGTTTAGACATTTTCTAGTCCTGATCACTGGGTATCTGCACTTCTCCAAGGGGCAGCCTTTACCTTCTCAGACTCAGTGTCCCCCAGTCTCTAATCACCTCTGCTACGGAAAGGGTGGTCAGGAGGAAAAACCATCCGGCCTACGAAACCAGGAACATCAGCAAACCAGGTTATGCACTCGGTCCTGTCTCTTGCAGGTAACAAGTTATCAAGATGCGGCTGATTGGAATGAAAGTGTAATACTTTTATAGTTGAGGAAAAAAGGAGAAAGGGGCAAACCATGTGTGGAGAGCACAGGCTTTGGCATGAGGCAGTGCCAGCTATGAGTCCTTGTGGAAGACTCCTAACCTCTGAGCCCCAGTCCTCATCTGTAAAAAGGTGACAGTACCTGTCTGGCAAGGTCGTTGTGAAGGTTAGATCAGATGATGCATGTTCAGAGCCAGCACGTAGTAGAAGTTCAATAAATGGTAGCACTATCAAATTCCTAAAAATATAATCACTGGATCAAAGGATGTGCATTTCTTGAGGACTTTTGGACCTATTGTTACTGGTAGGTTTAACAGAATAGAATAATTTCTTGTGCTCCCAGTTTTTCTACCTGACTCGGAGGGCCAGCTCCAGTCTGGAGGCTGCGGGGGCGGGGGGGGGGGCAGTGGTTTTCTCCCTCTCTCTCTCTGATTAGGACAGAAATGTCTTACCCGCCTGAGTGAGCAGGGCGCACACGCAGGCGGGCTCTCTCTCCAGCCGGCTTTGAAGCTGGCTAATTAGGGCTAGGGCTGTCACAGCTGGCTTCCCCTGGCCGTCCCCCTCCTCCTGTTCTGCCCCCTTCCCAGCTGCCATGCCCTTCACTGCAGACACGCCATCCAGTAAGGCCCTAGGATTTGAGGCCTGGAAGGGCCAAGGCGAAAGCAGCTGAGAAAGGACGAGATGAGACTTGAGACGTGGAACAAGCTCATAGACATTGAGGACTGCCTATGGCCCGGACCCCTGCTTATTCCTAATGAAGCCTGGAGAGGAGCCGGCCTGGGCTGGGGGCTGAGCCCTGGGCCCTTTGTTTGAAAGCCAAGCTTTCTGAAGCCTCCCAACCTGGCCCTTATAATTAGCCCCAATCAGAGTGTTTATGTCGGGGCCTCGTGTGGAACTCAGAGCCCCGTGATTTCCTTCCAAACCTGGAGGGAGGAGGGGGAGGGAAACGGATTTGTGTGGGGACAAGCAGAAAGGAGGATGGGGTAGGAAGTGATGAGAAGACCTGGGGGGAGGGGAGGAGAGGAGGTCCTGGAGAAGAGAGGACAGCCAGCCTCCATTTGGCCAGTGCAGGAGTCAGGACCCCTCCCAGGATAGCTGGCACCCTGGCATCCTGACCCTGGGCCAGGTCTGCACGCCTTCTGGGCAGGCTCTGTGGGTGGGTGGGCTTGTGCCAATCGGAAATGGCTTGGATATAATTAACCCAGCTAATCACCAGCCTCAGCCCAGTGGGAGGGGAGGGTACAGCCTAGAGCCACGGCTCTCCCAGGAAGCTCGGTCTCCCTATTCTCCTTCCTCTGACTGGGGCCTGGGGTGTGCCAGGCTCTGCAACTGCTTAGGATGTTGGAGTCGGAGGGTGGGCAGGGAAGGGATCTAGGAAGGGAGGGTGCCTAATTCTCATCTCAGGCCTCACCCAGAATGTGACAGGGGGGAGTGTGCCTGAGGTGGCCATACTGGTGGGGGTGGTGGTAGGGGTGTTGGTAGGGGTGGGGCTGGAGGACAGCAGGAATCATGGGCAGGAGGGAGGGAGGGAGGGAGGGAGAGGATTCCCAGCCACTGCTCCCAAGTGGCACTGGGTGTGTCCCAGACTCAATTAGCATTTCCCTCCAGGTCTAGGCCTCCCTGGGAACTCTCTGGGGTGGGATGTAGCTTGTAGAGAATTATGTGCACTAGGTTTAGTGTCCTGTGGGTGGGGAGGGGGCAGAGTGTGGGATTGTGCTTGTAACTCCCTTGCTAAAAATCCTGCCAGGCCTCTGAGGAGTGTCCCAGCTCCCTTCCTCACTCAGCACATAAAGCTTTCCAAGATCTGCATCTGGCTCTTATGTCTCCAGTCTCATTTCCCACTGCTCTTTGCTACACTCTTAGGTGCTAGCCTCCACAACTCATTCTCAGACCAACCATGCTCCATGACTTTGCACATACTGTTACTGTGACCTGAATGCCCTTCCCTTCCCTTAGCCTGGATGTTAACCACTAGTGCCTCAGAACTTACCTGAGGTTAGGTGGCCCCTCTGCAGACAGCTGTATCCCAGGCCAATCCCGTCCCCACACTGTGTTCTCACCTGTCACAGCACATCGCATTATTGTTAGTTATTTGTCTCTTTTCTTGACTGTGGCCTCCTTGAGGGAGAGTCTGTGTTTGGTCTTTTATCTCTATCCCTGAGCAAACAATATGCCTGGCACATGGTAGGTGCCCAAGATCACAGGCTCTGGAGCCAGGCTACCTGAGCTTGAATCCTGCCCCAGCCTCTTGCTAGCTGTTGACCTTGGGCAAGTTAACCTCTCTGTGCGTTATCTGTAAATGCGGATAGTAATTACACTTACCTTGCAAGACTGGTTTGAGGATTGAACAAACTAATTCAAGTAAAATGTTTAAAACAGTGCCTGGCACATAGTAAGTGCTTAATAAATGCTGGTTAAGCTTATTCATTCATGGATTGGCTCAGCAGAT